TTTGTTTTAGAAATTTTAATTATTTATGATACTGTGGCAAGCCTAACAAAACTGTTGCAGTACCAAAGATGACGCCATGCTGGGAAACACTGATATATTCTGGTTATGACCGGACGACGACAACAACAACAAAAAAAAAGGATGATCATAGGTTAATTTATAGCATATTGATGTGTGATTAACTTTGTTTTATGTGTCCTGCAAAATGAATGATTAATGCGGTTTATGCCTGTACAAGGAGTGCTTGGGTTGGGCTTTTCTGAGTTAGAATGATGAATCCAATTTCCAAGTCTAAAAAACAGTTCTTTGATTTTCACTGTAGCTATAAATATTTATTATAATGTTTCCCCTGCTCAGGCTGTCTACCTCAAACAATGATAAATTGTGCATGCAATATGGAGTGTGATTTGTTTAGTGCTTCTGTGTGATACGTCTTGGCTGTATCCACCACCTTCAAAACTTTTTGTAAATTTAGAAAAAAGAAAAGAAGAAGGCAGTCGGATGTATTTGAAAGTGATGGTTAGCTTGATTTTCATGGATTTAGTCAAAGTGTGTTCTTAATATAATCTGACCTGGGTTCCTCTCACAGCTGGACCTGGAGGGAGCTGTTTCAATTAGCGCCCCACTTTGTGGTGTTTTTTAACTCCCCAAACTGACCAAAAGATTTGGGGGAAAACACTCCAGGGTTTGAAATTCAGCCGCACAAAACAATGCAGTCAAAGACACTCAGGAAGTAAAGCCTGACAAACTATCATCATAAGAGGTAAGTGTAGGGACTTACAGACCGCAGTGTGTTGTGTGCTCAGTGGTGCTCAGAAAAGCTCTCAGCCTTGTCAGGGCTAGACGGTCTCCTCTGAGGTCTCTCCCTGGTGGGTTTTTTTAAATGTTTTTTTTATCCCACTGCTGAATGCTTCTGGACTTTGATGCTTTGATGTTTCTCTCAGGTTTTCCCATCCTGCTACACCCACTGACTGTTGGGGCCTGACCTGCTTTCATGCTAATACCTTCAGTGTTGTATAACTAAGAGAGAACTTGGCTCCCCTGCTCAAAGTGTTCCCCATGCACCAATGTGAGCGTCGGTGTGCAGTGACAGTTCGGAACAGCTCTTTTCAAATAAAGCTGTCTCATTGCGGTGGCAGACTTACGGACACATGGACAGACGGACACAGTTGTTGCATGTCTCTAGCTCAATATCCTCTCAGTGTGGGCGTTGTTGCTGTGGCCACTGGGTTAGAAAGGGGGTGTGGATCTCTGGTGCATGGATGCTGCAAAGCCTG